AAAAAAAAAAAAAAAAAAGAAAAAAGAAAAAAAAAAGCATCAACGAACCTGATCAAAGAGCATCGCGTAAGCGGAAATAACAATGGTCGCTCTGTCACCCCCTTGGCCGAACCTCGGAATCCTACAGCGTTTTCCGGACGAACAGCAAAGCTAACAAACGTATCCTGCCTCTCCTCGTATTATCGTCGTTATTTTCTATATTTTCTCTCTTTCCTTTTTTTTTCATCTCTTTCCCTCTCTCCATTTTGTCCCCTCCCGATTCGAACAGGCCGCTGCCAATTTGTGGGAATATTCTCGATGCACTCGCACACATATCCTCGTCAACATATCACGAGAGGGAAGTCTCGTTGGTCCCACGGGCGTTCCTCTACAAGGTGGTTACACGCGAGACACCACGTTCCAGCAACGAGCATTAAGCAAGCATTATGATAAGTGGCGAACCGATTCGGGGCCTTCGTTGTCTCACGCGCGAATTTTAGACTAATGTGTCACGCGAATCCCTAGTTACGTCCTCCGCCACGTGATGAAGGATCCTAGAAAATTTCCTAGGAGGGAATCCTTTTCTCGAATTATATCGAAAATCGTTCTTGTTCTACGATGCACAGTGAAGCGTGTAACGATTTGGTCGAATTAGTTTCATTTTTATTTTATTAAAGGTCTTTTTCTTGCGTCGAATTATCGAAGAGTTTTCGTTTTACAGTGAAGTTTGTAGCGTTTGAAAATTTTTGGTGAATATTCCACGGAATTATTGTGATCGAATCGACGATAAATCTGATGCTTCGAGTTATTTGAAACCATCATAGTTATCGAATCGAAATGTTGACGATTGAATGGAACGAATAATTTCGAGATTAAAATAACCATTCGTTCGGTGTTTAAATTTGGACTAAAAGCCCATTGGTCCGTGTTTTATCGAATTTCGTTCACCGAACTGGATAGTACAATTTTAATACACCTCGTTACGTGTGATTTCCGATACATGGTGTTTTAAATCCAAGACAAACATAACTGATTTGACGATCTTTTCGATGGAGGCCGTCATCTTCCATTCAATTACGTATTTCATCGTTTTTTTCTTCGTTCTTTAAAATCCCCTTCTTTTTTACTCGATTTCTGTATAATATATTGTAGAATAAACGCGACACATCGTTCCACAACGAAATCCACTCGTCGAATGAGTGAAAGACGCGGTGAATGTAAACGAAGCGTGTAATTGTTTATATTTCAATCGGGCACACGGTCGATCTCCTGAACTATATTTCGCGCTTTGCAAACAATAATACATAACAACGGGGTCGTAGCTCATAAAATTCTAATCGAAAATAATTTCTCCCGTACCGACAATGCCGATTCCATGATTAATCGAGGAATCTGTTTCGTATTATTTTTTCGCATGTTCCCGATTTCGTCACGGATGAAAAACTCGATGTATGACCTCTGAATAATTTCATTCGATATTAAAAATATTATATTAATTCTCTTAATATTTATTTATTATCGTTTCAATTCAATGATGTTCGATATATAATTTTAATTATATCGATAAAAAATAGTACCGCAAAATATACAAAAAATATTTCAAAATTTCCATCTTTAAACTATCGTCACGTCAATTTAACATCAATTATCATTATATATTAATAACGATAATTAAAAATTATTATAAAATATTAAAGTTGAAGTGAGAAAAATGAAAATTATATTATCAAATTTTTTTTCAAATAAAAATTTGCAGACACGGTCCCGTTAATCGCTAACGGATCGGTTCCGCGAAAGAATTTCTTTTTACCACGGAGATGATGCTCGCACAACGATAATCGGGCGTAGCAATCGTGCGACATTCGCGATGAAGAAACTTTAGTGAATGAAAGGAAACCGGTGGTGGTTCACACGCGGCCGGGCACGCACTGCACTCCCCGACCATTTACCTTAAAGCGAGGCGATTTCCTTTTGCACATTATGATCCCACACAACGATGCACCTACGACGGCGTATCTGTTAGATTATCCTTCTGTACATACCATTACCTCGACACGCGAGCTATATGAGCATGAAAGGATACATAGGGGGAACAGAGCCTGGTCGCCAACGATCAGGAAAAATTGCGGCTGAGACCGATATACGAGTACGAAACAAACAGATTGCATCCATTATAGAATGATATTCTCCCTTTATTTTCTTATTATTCTTGATTTTTTAATGCGATTTGATTAAGGTGGACCATTGTTCCCCTTTTGTAACTTTAATCGCTCGATCTTTAATTCAAAACAATTTTGATGACTTTCGAGGAAGTCGTTAGATGCATCTGCGGCCGAATAGCGACTCGTTAACTTCGTTTCCGCTTAGGCTATCCACTAGATCATATGGAACTTGGGATACGTGTGTTCGAAATATCGAAATATCGAAATATCGAGATCTATTTGAATTGCATTCCATTATAAATGTACGATGGATTACTATCATTGCATTAACAAAGAGAAATTTGGAACTCATTAAAATTTAAAAGATTTTAGATGATATAGTAATGATATAGTAAAATTTCTTCTACTAAAATATATATATTCGAGTTGGATGAAAACAACTCTTAATTTTTTATCTTTTAGAAATTAAAAAGTATACGAAAAAATATATATATTCTTTATAATTTTCATTCGATAGGTGTCACAGGAAATCAACAATATATTCCAACTTTCAACAGGTAAACCAGTAAATTCGACCTTTATCGAGCTATTCCAGCCAAGAACCAGTCTCGGTATAATCGAGAAAAGGAGAAAGAGAAACACGGTGGCCGGCTCTTTGGCCGTACTTCCTGTCCAATCACGACTTCATTTGTCCCTGACGAATGCGTGCCAGGCGCTAGCCACCTGAGATCCCGTAGATAATAGAAGAGTAAGGCATCAAGGAAAAAAAAACTTGTACCTGTTTCCATGATCGTGTTAACAGCCGAAACTCATAAAGATGTTTAAAATGGCTCGAGAGAGAGAGACACGAAACGTTTTCTTTATCATCAACACATTGATTCTTCGACATCAACATTCAAAAAGTGAAAATACAATGATGTTTATTGAAATTTGTTTGATTATATATATAATGATTTTTTTGAATTACGATATGCATATATGATTATTACCTGCAATAATATAACCATAATAATTTTTTTTTTTTCATTACAGTTAAAACAAAGTATTAAATGATCCCAAAAATTCTTTTCGTTTTTTTTTTATTTTTTTTCCATGATTTCATTTTTTCAAAATAATAATTAAGATTATTAGAATATTTATCTATTATTTTACTACATTATTTAATTATTTAAATTATTAAGTCAACCTAATCAGGTTGTAATTTGTTAATTTTATAATATTATAATTAATAAATTTTAAAAGAATAAAAGAATCCAAAATTTACAACAGAAAATCTAAAGAAAAACTGAATGTTTTAATATCAATTAAAAATAAAAACTTATGTATTTTTCAATGACCATCAAAATCATAAATAACGAAAAAATTTTTTGAAATAACCTTATATATGTACATAATATTTTATGAAATATGTAAACTGACTCACTATGATTTCATTATGCTTTTAAACCAGTCGTAGACTTCTTTTTTTATCATGTACAATTTAACAGATAACTATTAAAATCAAACAAACAATGTATTATCTGTCGAATTTCATTCGCGATATTAGCAACACTGTCACAATGATAGAACAGATTGAGTCGGAATCGCAATTAAAAATTAATTTACAACGCTATCATTGATTCATCATTAACAATTCTCATCGCGCGCGTACATAAAAAAAAGAAAAGATTGTCAGTGTGCAAATTTCACGATAATTGGTAAACACGTTGCTCGCATGCTGCTAATATCACTGATGAAATCGCGATGAATGAATGAATCAGGTCTTGATGAGTCGTCTGGAACGCAATTTGTCATAGACAAGCATCTTCTTGAGATCGATTGATCGTTTTCGTACACCGTCACGAAATCAGCCATCACATTTATGATCTAATTATCAACGATTTCGATCTTCCAATTTACGGTTAATCCATACAACCGTAACATAAGTTACATGATATCATTATTTCTTATAGACTAGTCCAGGAAACATGTTTGTGTAGAATTAACACTGTAAGGAAAATTCATTAGGCTTGTTTAATTTAATAAAATTTGTCAATACCATATTTCTCTACTGTTAAATTTCAATAAATTTAATAATTTAAATGCGAAAAAAATATATCTTACCTTCATTACAATGTATAAATCATGTAATCGTTTAAAAAAACTTTGATAGAACTTGTCGAGAAATACGTACATTTAAGCAGACAACTTCATTGGACAAATTTCAAGTTAGAAATATCAATATTAATCGATAATCGATTTATATCGAATAAATTTTATTGATCAAAAATCTCGTATTTTACGATCTTCTATTAATATATATATAAATAATTTTCTTATGATGATTTTATTTAAATCATCTTATTCAGGTTATGGTCGAAAACGATTTAGAAATTTTCAAAACGAGTTTTATCGGTCGCGATCAAAAGATCGCGATACGACGTTGACACAAGAACCCGTTGTCGTCTTTCTTCTGTGACAGTTTCATTATCTTCTTTTCGAAGAACAATCCCATTATTTTTCACTGACCTGCTATCCAAGTGTAAAGTGGGCAATCTTGTCTAGGAAACGGTCTTCGATCTTTTATGCAACGTCACGTTTCTGGAAAAATTAAAGAGTTTAGTAAAAGAGTTTAAAAAAAATTTCATTTCAATAGTTGATCATTGTTTTGTTACGTCATAGTTGGATAACGCTACATAATAATTATTTTTTATATAAATTTAAAAATTCTTCGATAGATAAAAAGCTCGGAAAACGAAATAAAAATTCGGAAACTTACTTTCTTTTGCTTTCATTATCTTTTCTGTATATAATACATATAAATTTTTTTATTTCATTCAATAAAAAATACAAACTTTATTTAATCCAATTTAACAATATCTTTAATCATTAATTTACAAAAAAAAAAAATGAAATTGTTGCGCTCAATAATCAATACAAGTCAAATCGTATATTCTAATGATAATGTCAAAAATAATTCTGTGAATCATTTCAAACTGATTGCTTTAATCCGTGTCTAATTGAATGTTACGGTACATATTCATAAAAGGAAGAAAGGATAACAACGAAATAATGATTGCACCATCCAAAAAGCAAATTACCGAATTATTTCATATTCGAAGAAATTAACAGTCAGTCACTAAGACAGTAGTAGTTACAGACATTTGCTGACGTTGTGAATCTGTAATTAGAAGCGCGCCGTCTTGCTTTTATTCCATGATTTTTTTTTTTTTCTTCTTTTTTAAATTTGTTTTTATTCATATGAAATCTCTCGCAGTCATACATTATCATCTTGAATCAACAGAGAGTCGATTTTGTAACGAGTAGTAGTAGTAACTACTACATATTAAGATATATTTTAAAGGTACTATACATATTAAATTCAGATGAAAAGAAAAGAAGAGATCGCATGAAATTGAAGAGAAGGCACGAGAGAAAACTTAAATAACAGGTCTGTCTTAATAACCCTCGTTCTGGAACGCAAACTGAATGTCATTGCAATAGATTCGATCACGTGATTCGGTACTGACAACATAATTCTAGTGTCGCGTCAATAGTTTCGTATTGTATCTCAAATTCATCTCAATTCAAAAATGAAAAAATATTGAAATACCATAGATATTAGGCTTTTAAATCTAAATACCTGTTATTGATTTAAAAGAAAGTTATTTTGTAAAATCAATATTATAGAGAATTATAAATATATATAATAAAAAAAATTTTTTTTAAAATGTTTTATTACACATTTTTTTAAATTAAAAAATAACGTATATCTATAATAATTCATAATATTGAATATATTTGAAAGATATATTTCATGAATGAATTGAAAATATGTGTTTATAAATATGTATATATTTATGTACATAACATGTACTATGTATATATATAATATATATAATACATGTACACAATTACATATATAATATATATATATATGTAATTTTTGCAAGTAACATATTTGTAAATAGTATTATTGTTTAAATATTGTTTAAATAATTGAAAAATAAATAAAATCCTGAAGTTGTACTTAAAATGCCATCTAGAATATAGTTAGACAACTTCTTACGATGCGATCTTTTTTAGAAAGGGTAAAAATTATGTTCACACATGTATTGTGATGTAAAGTATACGTAAAACAAAAATCTTTAAATTACAACTCTATTCATTTTATTATAATATTTTTAATATATAATATATAAAATAATATGTTACCACGATTGTATGTACGTGTCAATCAAAAATTATTAAATACATCTATAAAATTTCAAGTAAGTTAAAACCTTTGCATTGAGGTTATATTACTGTAGTTACAATCGAATTATTTTAATGTTGAAAATATATATTGAAAATATATAATGTTGAAAATAAATATTTAGAAAACAACAGAATGTCAGTTTAGTGGACTCGCTTATAACTTAACAAATATTCCTTCGAAAAAAGATTGTATACTCAACGTTCATAAACGTTTAAAAGTTCATGAAATATATTTTATTCGATGTGAAAGCACAACACATATAACAACAAAAGAAATTGTATCAAATACATCAGGTATTTTAGTAAAGCGTTTAATTTGAAATATATTTTCAAAATATAATAAAAAATTTTTCTTTTAGATTCACCTGTAACACCAAACATAACAAATAGTCCAGTAATAGAAAAAGATCTTATACATGAAATACCAGGTAATATAACATATTTACATCAGGTTTAATATTTTTATTTTTACATCATTTAGTGGTATAAGTAAAAACATAATATTTATATTTTTTAAAGATATACCTGTACCAATAGTTGAAGAAATAACAAAAACTATTAATTTACATGCAAATGGTGAAGCTACTTTTGAAAGCTTAGGATTAGGTGGATATGGTCCTTTTGGACTTTTTCAATATTTTTATGAATGGCTTCATATTAGTTGTGACTTACCATGGTGGGCAACAATTATATTAACTTCCACAATTATCAAACTCTTAACATTTCCCTGTTCAATAGCTATACAAAAAAATAATGCTAAATTAAATAATGTTTTACCACAAATGGTAAAAATACAAGAAAATATGACGGATGCAAGAAAATGTGGAAATTCAATGGAAGGTATATATTAAATAATATAACATTAACTTAAATATATATGTTACATTTTTTTTCTAGCTGCTCAATATGCTTCTGAATTACAAACACTGTTTTCAAAAAATAAAATCAAGATATTTCCAATAACCAATTTTATAAAAGTATGTATTATGTAATATAAAAAGTATATTTTAGTATATCTACAATAATTAAAATGTTATAATTTGTTTCTATAATCTATTTAATAGATTGGTGCTCATATACCAGTATTTGTTGCTTTAAGAGGAATGACTAATAAACCTGTAGAAAGTTTAAAAGAAGGTGGACTCTTGTGGTTTACAGATTTAACTATTCCTGATCAATATTATTTGCTACCATTATGTACTACTCTAACAATGTATGTTATTTCTACACGTGCATTAAGTAATAGTGGAAATACATCTCCAGTAATGCAACATATGTTCAAAGCAATACCAGTTATTTCATTTTTATTTGCAATGAGATTTCCAGGAGTAAGATATATCGTTATTAGAATTTTTTTCATATTGAATGTAATATGCATATTAAATAAGTAATTTATTCTAGGCCATTTTATGTCACTGGACTATTTCAAATCTTATAACTTTGATAGAAAATCAATTATTAAACACACAAAAAATAAGAACGTTTTATAATATTCCACCTCTTGTAAAACACAAATATGATGTAAAAAAAGGTTTAAAAAAAGGATTTATGGAAACATTTAATGATGGTACTTTTATAATATTCAATAATATTTAAAATATAATTTCAAATATTTTATACAAACAATTTTTTTCAGCTTACACTAACATGAAAATATCTAATAGATTATCATCTCTAAAACATGCTGATAAGATACAATTTAATAAGGAAGCTAAAGGTCCTTTGAAGAAGACATTTAAATATAATCCAGTGGTAAATTTATCAAAACAAACATCAACATCAATGTCAGCAGTGAAAAAATAATATTTTATGTACAAAATCTTATATATAACATTTTTTTATTTAATTAATTGTAGATTTAATTGTAATAAATCTCCTGTAATAATTCAACATTTAATTCAATAAATAAGAAAATAATGAATTATATAATACCTTTTAAATCTACAGATATTAGTATTTATATATTTTTTTAATATTAAAATTTTATATCAACACATTGATTAATTACTTCAAGTAGATGATTGTTTTCAAGAGCAGCTGCTACTCTTTCTTTATCAGCCAATTGTTTATTTACTGCTGTCTCTGATATATGAGTACCCGGAGTAATTTCAACACTAACTTTAAATCTTGAGGGTAAAACTCGCAATAATTGTACTCTAATTGATAAGCCAATTAATGTTGCCATACTACAATGTGGTATTGTTGGTGTAAATTTTACATGAACTATGTTTGCCTTATTATCAATCTAGAATCAAATAAAATTATTTTTATAAGTGATTTTTTTCATTAATTTAATAATATTACCTCAATAAGACTTTGTTCTACCACATTCAATTCTTCCAAAGTTAAAGGATGTTCAGGATCATTAATGTTTCTAATCATATCTGTAAATAAAAAATTTATCGGAAAATTAGATATATTATTATATTAATTATACATACCAAAAATTTCTCGCGCATCAAATTCATCTACAATATCTTCATTTTCATCTTCTGCCGTAATTTGTCTTTCATCTATTTTTTTATATAATTTGGGATTAATATTTTCCAATTTATCACCCATTTTCTCCATTAAAAATATTAGATTTACATATTTTTATATAAACATCATTAAATTAAATTATTTTCTTGTTCAATATTAATTTTTACATTGAGATAATGAAATTAACCTAAAATTAATAGTTTTTTCCTTTTAAAACAATAATGCATCACAGGAGTGAAGAGACTTTAATAATCAAATAAAATCTAATATCATATTGCTTTTTGTTTTGAATACTATTGTTAATAAAATATGAAAAATATGAATACATAAAACGATTATTACACCATAAACTTATAATGATCACGTTTTGTCGAAACAATTATCGAAGTTTGCACATGCGCTATTATGGCTGTTTACAGTGTTGTTCCGTAATACATAATAAAGTGGCACATGTATATTTTTATTTTATTGAATAATTTAATATATTCCAAATTAGAAATATTTTAATATTTATAATTTCAAATTATTAATATTGTATTTAATAAAGTTTTATTTTTTCATATTTACAACACATCAAAACAAGGTAAAATTATATGTTATATAGGGTTATGTGCATATTTTACAAATTTATATTTCATATTACATTTTCTACATATTTGTGATAAAAAAGTATTATTTATAATTTTAAGATGACTACATCTCTTGCGGAACAATTAAAGAAATTAAGAACACCTCAAACTGGAATATTGCTTCAGGATAAAAAACGTGCTAGTTTGTTATTTGATCCTAGAGAAGCTGCTAATTTGGATAGAGAAACAGTTTTAAGTATAGGTGAGTATAAGATATTATATTTTATTTATAAAATATATATATCTTTTTTATCAAAAAAGTAATTAATATATATTAATTTTTCTTAGGTCAAAATGGATTGCAAGAATTGACAAAGTTATCAAATCTATTTTTAGAATTTGAAAATACTCTTTTTGCACAAAGTTCATTGAATCTTGAACGTGCTATACAAGATATTAAAGTTAACAAAAAGTTAGATGGAGAAATTGAAAGATTTCTTATATTTTTATCTCCTTATTTCTTGCTCAATGTTGCTCACAAAGCTCTTGAGTGGCTTATATATAGATTTCGCATACACGAATTTAATAGAGATCAATTTTTGCTTCTAATATTACCTTATCATGAAACTCGGATGTTTATAAGAGCATTACAATTATTAGATCTATCTGATGAGGGAGATAATTGGCATTGGTTACAACCTCTTCAAAAGCCTGGTGTTCCTTTAGCTTCAATAACATTGATTAACCGTATTAGTTCTGATAATGCTTTGTTAAAATTAATTTGCAATCATGTTGTTTTTGCTACTAAAATACATTCTGAGTGTGCCACTTCTTTAAGTACTTTGTATGCATTTTACACAACTTCACTATTAGGAACTATAGAACAGGTATCTATTATTTCCGAAGTACAAGTAGGTTATATGATATCAACTATTTTGAAAGGTTTAGAAAGTTCCATTGCCGATTTTGCAGCCAGCACTTACATGATTCTAGCAAAGTTAATGTTGAAAATGAAACTGAAGGACGAAACTATGGAAAAATTGCTTTTAAAAATATTCAAGAAAACTTACCTGAAAGAAGAAGCGCTACTTTTACTATTTTTTTTATATAATATACCAGTTCATCAGCTCACTACAGTACCAAAAAGTCTTGCAACTCGATTATCTGAATTATCTTGGTTCATCGAACTCACAATTAAATTTCAATCGTCTAACATAAATATATTAAAATTCATTGTACCATTATTGCAAACGAATTGCCGTATGATTTTGGAAGATCCATTAGGAACAATTCGAGTACAGAAAATGGTGAACGAAATATTAACACGAATCAAATTGGACGATATAGGAGTGGATACTATCCTATGGAATGTATTACAAAAGGAATTCCTTTCGAGTGACGTGTCAAATGAAGCGAAAGATTTTCTTGTGAAGTTGTATCACAATCTCGAAAGAACTTATCCTGAAAGATTTGATGATTATTTGAAAGGATTGATGAAACGTAGCGATACGGATAAAAATTCAAAATTAGCATTGGAATTTATCACATCTTGGCATTTTGGAGCTAGAGACACGCAAGAAGTTGTAGGAATTCTTGATAGATTGATCCATATTAGTCCGGAACAAAGAATTATTGCGTTGCAAACGTTGGCAGAAACCGATGTAGATATTCCTGAAAGTTTTCGAGAGATGATGACGAATACAATTCAATCTAGATTTAGCGACACAGAAGTAGATGTAATTAGAGCTTTACTATCTATTTCTACGAAACGTTTAACAGCTTTATTATCTGCAGATATTCTGATCGAAGAATTAAAAATATTATTGTCGACTTGTCATAGTACCAGTAGAAAAGTACTAGCAAAACCAGCATTAAAAATCTTGTTGGAACTCTGTGAAGTTGGTGACGATACTAGTGTTTTCATAACGTCTTTGCCATATTTATTTCCAAATGATGATGCAGACGTAGATATCACAATGGAAGTATTGAAGTCAAATTTCGCCAAGAATAACGTATACATGCAACATGTGCAAAAAGATTTAGGAAGATCACCAAATGCAGAGGCGGTTTCATCAGCATCTTTTCACAATATCTTAAACTGGGAATTATTACCTCCAACTGATAGTATATTAAGCGCAATGAAACAACAAATCGCACATGGTGATGCAGCTTCCATGTTTTTTAATCTGATTCTATTGGGCTCTGTGTGTAGAGTACCTGTAGGATCTATCCAACCGGAAGTAGCGCGAGAGGTGATCGAAATGGCCACAGAGATGATAAAAAAATATCCGCAAGTAAAGATGTTGCAGAACTGTAATAATATTACCGGAAATAATATACAAACCGCCATTGAATTGACTTCTCAAGGAGTTTTACCATTGCAAGTAGGCACTTATGTTCTGGAGATGGTTCACAGACGTCTCGATTTGAAATCTAATCCGATAATCGATTTCGAGAATAATCAACATCGTAGTAATTTAATTTTGAGACTTCTCGAGATGTTCTTTGAAGGAATAGAAAATAAGTATTGGTGCAAGCATTATTCTCGTTGCTTACAAATATTCTTTCAAAGACACTTCGCCACGGTGAAAGATCTTGTGCGTTTTCTCTCCCAATTGTATATAAAACCTGTAAAAGTTCAAACTTCTTTTCATTGTTTGAAAATAACACAGGTACTTTTGAAACAAAATAAATCCATTCAATGGGCGTTTCAAGATAAAGTTTTTGTTACGAATTTGTTGCTTTCATTAGCTAGAGATAACAACGAGTGTCGGATAGCATCGTTGAAGATTCTTGAGATAATTATACATTTTGCTGTTATAACGATAGATCCTTTCTTATCCTTGTTGCAAGAACTCAATAACAGAAATCCAGAAATATCTCTTGATCCTGATCAACTATCTTTATCTCTTTACGTTTTATTATCACCTGATCCAGACGTGTGCAGTCAATTGAAATCAGATCTTCGGAAAAATCTTCAACAAGCCCAACAAATGTTATTCGAGATCATCATGGACAAAGAAAGTCCATTGCACATCAAGTCGCAACTTTTGGATATTTTAGCTTACGTCAATGGATCTACGATACTTCAACAATTAGCTCCTGTTGGATTACAACTTCTCCAAATTCTTCACACAAATTCTAAGAACAAATCCGCAGGAAATATGTTGAAAAATATACTCCAAAGGTTCAATAGCGCAACGGTAAAGGCTCTTACTGTTGAACAAGTGTGGCAATTGTTTGAGACCAATATAGAGGAGCATGAAATCGAAATTGTCACAGAATCTGGTATTCATCATTCACCAAGTATTATTCTTTTGAAACAGATAGAAAGTACTTTCTTTGAGAGTGCAGGAAAAGTTTCCATCCATCTTCAAAAAAAGATTCTAGCTAAATTAGTGGACGTGGCCACGGTATGCGAAATGACAAATGTGATTTCTACGACTAACAGAGCACTCAGAAAGATACAAGTAAATGCACAGCTTATAGTCGACGAATTGAAGATCATGTGGAATTTGAAGAACGTCGAACCTAACAACACGAGTATTAAAAATAAAAGACGACTCAGTCACATTCATTCGCCTCCTGATCCAACGATCATTAACAGAAAGGAATGGAAACGTGGCGTGACTCTCTTAGAATTTGCTCAACAAGCGGACAATATCGAGCAAGAGGAATTGCTTTATCCAATTCTTTTCGATTTGCTTAAAAAATGTCTGAGTTTTGAAGAACAAAGTCCCATAGAATACACGAATCAATTATTATTGTCTATTATTCACCGATTGACAATTAAAAAACTGCCTATCCGTGACGCTCATCTCCAGATAGATCTGATTACTCAGTGTATCAGAACCTCGAGGAATCCTCAGACTCATCATCATGCCCTATTAGTTTTGGTAGCATTATTAAAGGTCGTTGATGTACGCTGTGCATTATATACTATTATGCCTATCTTCACGTTTATGGGCAGTTCTGTGGTACGTCAGGATGACGCTTATTCGATCCAAATAATATCCAAGACTATCGAAACCGTAGTTCCTATAATAAATGCGGCTGAAAATGAAAATCATGCTTGTGAGCTTTTAAGAACTTTCATTGTTTCATTACCAGATATACCAGAGCATAGACGAATGCCTTTATTCGTTAAGTTATTGCAGCTTTTGGATAATTATTTTTATTTGTATTACTTGCTAAGTTTCGAAAGTCATGTTATGTCCAGAACCGTGCGCGTCCAAAATACATCAGGACAAAGATTAGAATTTGCTCTCCAAGTATCTCAAGAATTTTTACCTATTAAGATTATTCAAGTTTGCGTGAAATTGATTCAATTCATGAAAGAATTGCCTGTGGATATGGAAGACGAAGAAGGTAAAAAAGTTGCATTGTCTTTTAAATATAAGCATATATTTGATGTTGTTAATAGTACTCCTAAGCAATTAAGACATTATAAGTATACCTTGGTACAATTTCTGAGCAATTTGTTGTCATCACCTGATTTCATTAATAAGGTTGCTGAATTGGATTCTGATCAAGTAGATGAAATAAGACCGTATTATGATCAATTGATCGTTGAATTGATTATATTGATTCAGAGCACTTCAAAGAACGCTGATAAATATCAAGGAAAATCATTCGGGAAGTATTGGAAAGTTCTTTTACATCATTTGTATGATGTGTTAGATTTGGTGAACAATTTATTGCCAAATGGAATATTCTTAATCAGCATTAAACAGTTAATAGAACATGATTTGTTAACGGTAAAAAGGAAAGCCTTGGATCTTCTCAATACTCGTCTTCAACAACGAAAATTCAGCGAGGGCGAT